AAATTTATTTTAAAGGGATTTTATGTGGAAAACCAAAACAAAATGGTGCAAAACTGTAAAAAAAAAAAAAAAAAAAAAAGAAAATGAAAATTGTTAGAAGTGTGTGGTGTGTATTTGCATGTTGCATGTACTGTCAAAAAGCTCAATTACACTTTCAGTCATTGCAACTTCTTTCTATATCATAAAAAGCCAGATTTATGGAATACACAATAATTGTTTTGCTGTCTACAGGCCTTTCCACCTGACTCAATATGAGTGTAGATCATCCAGAGTCACCAAGAGAGTCCTGGTGATTGCTCTGATTTAGGTTGACGGCCATGATTTTGTCGGTTTTTGATTTGGCCATTTCCAGATGATCAGTTGAAGGAGTGATCTATGAGATTTTTATAATCTGGCTTATCGTCTGTGTTTCTTGGTCTTCGTCATGCTGTTTGTTCTCTAATGTTGCATCAGACCTCAGTCTCCATTCACAGAACTGAGCTGGATTTATGGAGTTCGGTGGATTTTGTTGGTTGCACCGGGGTTTTCAGGGGTATAAAGGTGTGACAAAACAAATGCACACCACACCTCTATTTATTTGTTCAAATTCTTGGAAACAAATTTCCCTCCTCCTCCCACTTTCAAATGAATGTGCTACTTTGTGTTGGTCTATCAAATAGATACATGAAATACATTAAAGTTTTTGGTTTGTGAAAATATTAAATATTTTTTTGCAAGGCACTATTTGCAACATAAAAAACAAAGAACAGTCCCAACAAGCGGGAAGCAGATCTTACGTTTGTGTTTTTTTTTTTTGCTTTAAGACATAAAGTCACTTAAATGCTGCAGCTCTCAACTGTAACACTTTCAGAACCAAGAAAAACATGAAATTCTTGCCTGTAAAATTCATCCTTCTGTACAGATTCTGTCCTCCAGATGAAGTGCTGTTGCTGGATTTATAAACTCCGTACATTTCTCCCTCTCTGTGAAGAGAAGACGCTAGTCTAGTATATATATATATTCATTGGCATCACATGGTCAGATGTTGATGTGCATGTGCGTTCTTGTGACTATGGATCTCGGACTACGACAAAAAAAACCCTTCACAGATTGTAATAATTGCAACGTATCACATCGATTTCACATTTTTTCTTCAGTGCGTGAACATCTCTGTGAATATTAAATGTGAAATATACCAAACTGAGATAGTTATAGCCTCTATTTAGAAACCATGTCCTCCTGTATCAATAGTAATAAGATTATATATTTAGGAAGAGAGTATGTGGGGATTTTGGTAAATTCGTCCCTCTATTGCTTGTATATTGTGACATATTGTGCAGAATATTTGCTCTATAGACACCGAATGACTTAAAGAATCCTCGTATTGTGCTGTCTGAAACACACCGAGGGCCTCTGTGAGAACTATATATTTTGTGTGAGAAGTAAAAGATGACTTTATTCAGATTGATAATAAATCTACCGTACTTTAAAACAACACCTCTCTGCTGTTTAGTGCTTGTGCTTGTGCTGATGCAGTTTCAAACAAACTGTCTGCCTGACCACTGAGCAGGGTTTGATTGAATGCTGGGAGATGATGTGCATGATCCCTGGGGGAGGCTGGTGTCTGGGGAAACACTGGCTTGTACAGATGAAACGGTTGCTTCTGCAGCACAGAAGGAAACCAGGATGTGAAATGAAATCAGGTTTGTTTTTTGCGCTCTGAGGAAGTCGGGCCATATTTAAGCAAGCTGAGGTCTTAATAGTCAAGTTATTTTATATTTAAAGCTCTGGAATATGTAATCTTAAAATAATGATAGCATGTCTGATTTTGTCACATTTAATCTGTCACAGCACTGTCATGGCTTGTTCAAAAGTGTTTTAATACCAATAATTTGGAGTTCTGCTACATGGTGAAGTTTTTAATCTGGAAAAATGTTCCAGTTCAGTTCATCTTAATCAAAAATTGAAAGAGAGATAAAAATAAATAGAAAATACACACCAGAGTTCCTGCACTCTGGCAAATCCTGAAATACAACTTAAGTAATTTCCAGGTCAGGATAAGTGTGAAAAAAGATTGTGGAAGAATATTTGGATTTTGACTTTGTGTAATCCAACCATCCCTTGGATTATACATCCCTTGTATAATGTATTATACATTATGTATACACATAATGTGTGTGTGTGTATATATATATATATATATATATATATATATATATATATATATATATATATATATATAAATAAAATGTATATACATCTGGATTATACATCCAATTGATGGACGGCCATATTGGTGTGGCTGTCCATCTATTCAAAGTACAATAATAATATATCAATTCCACAAACTGATATTGAAGTTTTATTTTAATATCTTGAAAATCAACTGTAAAACGCTAAAACTAGGAGACCTGAAGGACAGACAACATTCCAGGTTGTTGTTTTTTTTTAGTAGCATTATAACAGATCCGCCCTGTGATGGATCGGCACGGTCGGACCGATAGACGGGTGGAACACTAAAAGACGCTAATTACACATAAAGTTTTTAGTTGCCCTTAGTCAAATGCAACGCCAGAGTAATTTGGTATATAGACTACCAAATTATGAACCAAACTGTTTTACGAAAAAAAAGTATTTGCAAACAAAAAGATAAAGCTGACAAAAGCATCCTGCTCGAGTTTTTCATTCACTGTTGCAAATCGTTAATTGTTTTTGGCTGATTTGTTGTGATTTTGTCACGACGTCACACAAGGAAGCAGTCTGTTTGAGGGGGTTGCCTTTAAACACATCCACAAGTGTCCCTTCGCTTAACTGGAACGTCGTGAATTGCCCTAATGGACGCATCATACTTAGTTATTCCGAAATGCTGAAAATGTTTCTGATTTAATGCCAGACAGTGAAGGGGATCTGGTTCAACTGCAAACCCAGGAAAGACAAGGTCAGAAAGGGAAAACAAAATGAAAGAATACAAAGACAGCCCATCATGCTGTGGGATACCCAAAGAAGTGGAAAACTGGGACATGGAGGATAATACTGATTATATCACAAGTAGAAACGTGATGAGGAGCATGTATAGAGAATATATAATTTCCTACCGCTCAACAATGAGTGCGTGGGGTTCTCATTCAGATGCATATTCATGTATGTGCGACCCGCTGACATGTCCCTCCCTCCCCTGACAGTTCTAATAGGTGGGAATGAAGCTTCATGCACTTCCTGAGGTCTCATTTGCATATGATTCACTGATGAGCTGCCACCACTAACCAGCAACTCCAAACCAAAGCAAGGCTCTATTAATATTCACCCCATTCAGCTTGTAAAGCACACAAACCTAATCAGCTTAGAAATTACTGTATGGAAACCATAATTACGCATGTTTAATTGCTTATCATCTGATGGGAACAAGTTTATTAGAAAACGTATTCATCGTAATTGCTTCCTGAGGTATGTGGTTAGCCACAATAGCCCACGATATCCTGTCAGCTTCCATTTGGGAGGATTAATGTAAAAGTCCCAAAATTAGAAATTATGCGTTGCACTCTTTTGGATGGTTGGTTTAACTCAAAGTGATTTTTAATTTAGGGTTTTTCTAAATTAAAGCCTAAGCTCGGATAAGTCTAACAAAGTGAGAAACGTTCAATTCAGCATCTTACTCTGGCTAGAGAGCGCTGCAGCATCGCAGGGACCAGGACTTGGAGCAAATGCCCCCAAGAAAATGCCTGGTTATGATAAGCAATGGCCAACCAAAGAAGAAACCCATAGAAAGCAGAAGAAAAAATTAACAGGATCGATATTGGGAAACAGCTCTCTGAACAGGGGGGAGGTTTAAAGGGAATCTCAGAATCGATTTGACCTTGGAAGAAGCAGATTAAAACTCAGAGAGGTCTCCATACTGCCAAGAATCAAGTGGGCCGTTTCAGCCTCAGGCCTCAGTGACTCTTACAGCTCCTTCCTGTTTGTTGATCACCTGGAGTTTATTGTAATCACTGTTGACTCTGTCCTTGTAGATTTGTGTTTTGTTTTGCTTTTTCATGAAAAGCCCAGGCAGATTTATTTTTATCAAATCATTTTAGATTACATGAATCATTCCAAACCTGAAATAGTTGGATATTTAGTTAAAGATTTTATGAGCAATCAATACAAGCGACTCACAAAATCAGTCCTGTACTGTAGTAACGTTATTTCACAAAGAGCAATGCAGAAAAATGCAACCATTAATTTGAGTATTCAAAAGGAAAACAGAGGTTATAAAATGCTTAGCAACATATTAGGTGTTTTCATCTGCCTCCAGTAAAAATAAGCAAATATACTTTCATTCTCATCACTATTCTCTCAAGAAATAAACTGAAATACTGCAACTATTTTCTATGCAATGTTTTTTTTTATCACATTATCAAACAAAGAAAGACTAGTGCATTTTGGTTTGTGCTGTTTTGCTTATATACTTTGAGGTTTTTCTGGATTTGTAACTGATTACGTGAGATTTAAATGAGCATATCAGAGCAAACGCACTTGGTTCAAATGTAGACATATTGTCTAAATATGGATTATGTATATAGACTTGATGGATCTTAGGCCAATCCTGAAATCAGGTCAACTGCTCTAGACTGGGGTGAAAAATATGTCTAGTTTTTAAATGTGATTGCAGTGAAAGGCAAGGCATTACTGCAGTGGACTGAATTCAAATGCATGATATTCATTTTCTTTTTTCTTTTTTTTTCTTTTTTTGTAGAAAGGAAATAAGGCTGTCTGTTTTAACCTCCACTTTATGATTTCAATTAGACGGTCTTATGAAGTCCCAATAAAATACATAGAAGACTGTGGTTGTAATGTGATCAAATGTGGAAAAGTTCAAGGAGAATTGATGCTTTCACCAGATACTGTAGATGGGAAGTCTATCTGGAGCCGAGACCTCGCCTCAATCAGAAAGAGAAGCAGAGCTGCTTAACATTTCGTGTCACGTTCGGATTTTGGCTCCAGGTCTGAGAGGCGCTTTAGCTTATCAAACATAAAAGGAAAAAAATAAAAGACGAACATGTCATTTTCATGAGGAGTACTGTTGGAAAGTCCCTGAGTGTTTGCTTAATGGGATCTAGTCCAGGTTTCTCTACAAAGTAAAGCTTACTTCTTTTTTTTTTCCTTCTTTGCTTACGTTGTTAGGAGTGAATGAAGAGCAGAATGCAGAAGCTGCTCCTCTCATGTCTGTCCAAGGCCTCCATACCTTTGATCTTATTAAGGAACGAACAAGCTTTTAAACTTATACTCCCTGAAAGGCTCTCTCCTCCCCTTCTCCTCATCGTTGTCCATCAAGATGCTGCAAAAATCCTCAGAACGTTGATACTGCATGAATAATATTTCATACTTGAAACTAATTTGTAGTTTAAAGTGTGAACTCCGACCATCCCCATGCAGAAAATTAGCTTGATGCCCAAAGAAATCTTGATATTCCAGCCAAAACAGACACAATGTTTGACTTTTCTGCAGTATAAGAAAGGCTAATATTAAAAGTAAGCTCACCTTATGATCTAGTAGCTCAAATAACCAAAATTGCGGCAATAACATTAAGTTATCTTTGGCTATGATCCACAGTCATCACAATGAGTAGCATTATGGGATATGATTGGCAGTCACGCATGTTTTGCAAGCTTTCCTTGCACCTTGGACCCATTTAGAAAACTCAGTATATTAAGATGTGATGCTTTTTCAAATTTGGTGAAAGATTCATAAAGTGCACAACTCAGTCCAGGTGTACAAGGGTCACACTGGTGCTTCGTGGGATTAATGGTCCAGCCGTGATATTTAAAGAGATCCAGTGAAAGGTTATGAGACAAAGGTGAGGAGTCACACTCAACATCTGTCTGAGCAGGAAAGCCAAAGACGATCAGTGGGAAAATCTTCTCTCATTACCCTTCTTGCTTCCTCCTCTAAGGTTATTAATGGCTGCACAACAGCCCCAATGACATTTTACACAGTTTCATCCCTGTACCATTGTGCATCTTGGGGATTCGCTGGCATTTGGCTGCGGAGTTTTTAATCAGTGTCTGCGGCGGGACTGACCAGCGCGACTTCAATCCCGCTCCCCGTCACTCATCATAAGTGAGTTTATCAACACACATCTAATCGCCACACTCCGCGGGGACCTTAACCATTTGCATACTAAGATTGCTTTCTTTTGCTCGGGTGAGAACTCGCCTCTTTTGCATAATTATTAATGATAAAGACGGCGTGAACAAACGTGTCAGGAGGTATTAGCGTCGGGCACACAACTGGCTGCTGAAGGATCCGTTCGGTGACGTGCCGGGAGGAGAAGCTGGGGGCGCAAGGGCAGCGAGAGTAAAGAGCGGAACTGTCAAGGGAAACACTTTTGCATGAAGACGTTGGGTTAATTAAAAGGACAATAATGGAAAACATAGATAAAGCGAGGCCGGATGTGAAAGAGACACCCCACGGAGATTACAACAGAAAACAGTCAACAACGTTGCATTCAGATACAATCCCTTTTTTTTTTACACTGTAACATTTTGTCATGTTAAAAACACAAACTTTAGTGTATGTTATGGGGATTTTATGTACAACGTGGTGCATATTTGTGAAGTAAAGGGAAATGATGCATGGCTTAAAATTTAAAGTAACCGGTAAATTGGGAACTTCACAGTTGCATGAGGGTTGCGGTTTAGGGGTTAGGGGAAAGGGACAGGGTAAGGGTTGGAAGGAGGGTTGGAAGAAGGGTTACAACTCCAACACTCCTTTAAACTTTCTTCCCAACCCTAATTTTAACCCTAATTCCAAAACTCCTAACTCTATCCCGCTTAGGGTTGGAAATAAAGCTAGCGTACTGATTATTTAATGTGTTAGCTCTATCACATGAAATAATCAAATACATTGAAACTTTTGGTTGTAATTTCACAAAGTGTGGAAAATAAAAAAATTAAAAAAATCAACAGCTAGAAACACTTTCGCAAACCCACTGTAGCGGGGGAAAAGTAAGAGAAAGCGAAAGATATAGCCCAAAGGATTTCCGTTTAACATGAAAGCAGAAGGATGCAGCAAGATGTGCCAACTCTGATATATAGCATATAATTACATCAAAGGAAATATCACCCCAGCAGAAGAAAAACCCACAGCGTCGAACAGCACAAGATGTTTACATACAGAGGAGTCACTGTAGCTGCTCGTTCCTGTATTTCTGCCGTGTAGCGTTAAAGCAGCAGGCCCATATTGTCTGTCATCTGTTGGCGGTAATTACCACTTTTTACACTGTCCTACCCTCAGTGGGTAATGTTCACTGTCTGTACGAGAAATGTTTCATCTGAACGGTTTAACTGTTTCCTGCTTTATATAAAACAGCTGCTCTGTTGTTTTTATTTTTATTTATTTTATTTTATTTTATTTTTTTACTTTTTACAGGACAGGAATAAATAAGTCGTGCGTGCTGTGGTTCAGTTGGAGGGCTGGCGCATCCTCCCCAATGTGGTGAGCTAAACACAGTCCTGTGTGCCCTCTGCGCAGAGTAACAGCGTGATATTAAAAATCCCCGAGGCGGTTGTTAAGTCGCAGTGGCGCATTTGTGCTGCAATCGATGACCTTTTGTAAACACTAATGAGGCTCTTTCATGAGTTGGTAAAACAAGAACATTGAGTTTTCTGTGTTGAAGTTCACTTTTCTTACCTTCTGTTTGGAAGAAATTTGCATGCGTCCTTCCTTTTATTCAGGGATTTTTTTCAAGATTTGCAAGTCATAGGGTAATCTCAGGGGTCACCACTGCTCTTTGCCCCTTCAATAAACAACTGATAATAACCTTTAACCTCTCTGTTTTGCATTAGAATTGACCTTATTATTCCTCTTCCCCCACCTTGTATGGAAACCACGGCACCATTTGAAATGTCAGTCCTTGAAATCTGAACTTGATCTTTTTTTTCCCTTTAATAAACCCATCCAGAGGTAGAGGGTGTGTGTGTGAGTGTGTGTGCATGTGTTTGAAGGAGAAGGGTGGGCTTCGAGCTCATCTGCATCACAGATTAGGGTGCTTAGAGAAAAATCAACCATCCATGATTCATTACATGTATCCTGCTGAGCTCTCCGAGCTGGCAGCCATCCTAGCAACAGCAACAACTCGCCGCCGTCGTGGCAACCTATCAGGAACTTTGATGTCTGATCAAAATTTAGCCAATGAAAAAGGTGGAGCGGGCAGGCAGCGTGATGATGCATTTTCTTGAGCTGTTCTTCAGACGGTGACGTGTTGAGGGCTGCACACTCAATTGATAAAACAAATAAGTGTTTGCACTAACTACCCAGGTGGAAATCTCTTCATTTGTGCAGTTGCACCTTTTAGATGAGCTTAAATGTGGAACGATTGTAGAAACTCAAACCAAACAGAGGCTGAAATGTAGAAAGAAAAAATATTGCTGTACACATTATCTGCCTGAAAGTAAAGTGAGCAGATTAGACCAGCAGATTACTCTTTCAAACCTTCTTTTGAAGTTCACTCTTTTGACGTTGACTTTATGCATTTTGGACAAACATAAAAAACGAGGCACGCTCTACCCAAAATATTACTGCAGAATATAGTCCAGAAAATAAAGCGTTATGTTTTTGTGCTTATACACATTTACATTTCTGATAACGGAAACATTTGTTTCCTTCTACTTAACAGGAAACAAATGTTTCTTTTTTCACTATATAGCAAAACTATGTGCATAGTTCTGTACATAGTGGGATGCAAAACTGTGCATACCTCTGAAAATGTTTATTGAGATTTTGTGTGACAGATCAATGCAAAGTAGTGAAGAATTGGGCAGTGGAAGGTAAATGTTACATGACCATCACATTTATATATATCAACCTTAAAATTGCAGTTTTGAGGTTGATATTTGTATTTAACCCCTCCTGATAGGTGAAATCACCTTGTGCTATGATTGCAAATCTTCCAATCACCTCTGACCAGCTTTGTCTCCAGATCCACTCAGCACTGTGCGGCCACCACCATGTTTCAAAATGTAAAAGGTGTGCTCATGTCGATATGTATGAACACACTCATGCATATTTCAGCCATCTGCTGTTGCTTTAGGGAATTTTTTAAATGAAACTCCTTTCGAAAGTCCAACTCGTGAAATGACCTAATAATATTTGTCCTTCCACTTCACAATCATGTCATGTAAAAATCACAATGGATTACATGGAAGCCTATGGTTGTAATATCACAAAGTCTGAAAATACTCGAAGACTTTTGCAAGACTTTAGTGTTAAAGAAAACTGACTGAATTTCCTTTTAACTAAACAATTTATATGCTCATTTTACTGCTTTATTTATCTCTTTTCATCTAAGCTGTTCATATTTGTACTTTGCTGAAACTGTCTCCTT